TCAGGTGCCCCAGCATCTCACGACGGCTGAGGAGGAAGAGCCGGTGGCCCAGGTGGACCGCGCCTGGCTCCCCACCCGCTGTGAGCATCCGAGCTGGGACTCGCCACTGGATCCACACACGGACGCCCTGAGGTCAGGGGCAGCGTGCCCGGCGCTCCCTGCCCAGGACGCTGTGCTCACCACCTCACCCACATCCCCCAAAGGGCTCGTCTCTGCAGTGCCCACGTGCCATCAGCAATGCCAACTGCCTCTGCCCGGAGCCTGACCCGGGACCACAGCCACTGGCCTCAGGTCGTCGAGGAGAGAGGCTCTGAGCAGGGCCCGCCGCGTCCCGCCGCCTCCGCTCATGGGAACAGCCCGTCTGACCCTGGTCGTCGAACCGGGACCAGCACTGACCTTTCTGCCCCAAGTGGCCAGTGGACACAGCGCCGCCTCGGAGTCCACCTTGACGCGCATCTGCCATGCGCACGGGGTCCGCTGTGCCTGGAGAGCAGTGAGGTGCCCCCCCCAGGATGGCTCACGGGGGAGCCCCACCAGGGACAGGCCCCCTTCCCTGCGGCCCCCGGGAGGGCACAGGGTGACGGTGCCACAGGAACCAGCCCCGTTCGGAAGCAGGGCAGGCGAAAAATACCTCACGCACCTGTCCCCCGCCACCCCAGGCCCTCGCCGCCTGCCCCTGGGCCACCCCCTGCGTCTTCATTGTAATACCTCCTGCTTTCTGGCCAATGGGGTGTGGTCGCCTCGCCTCCCCAAAACCTGAGGACACCCCTGGTGAGACCGGCCTTCCCGTGCCTCCCTCGCGGCCAGGCGGCAGGAGACGCAGTGCGTGGAGCCCGCAGGGCCCCGGGGCTTTGGGATTGGTGCTGACCCAGGGCCCGGAGAGCTGACGGGCTCACATGTGCCCGCAGGCATAAGCTAGTTGAGTTTCTGAGGAGTTAGGGGAGCCCCATGGGCCCGGAGAACATGTGTCTACTGCTGCTTTGTGGGTGGGTGGCTGGTTCAGAGCCAGGTGACCTGTGTAACTTGAAGGCCGACAGACGGTGGCATCCAGCAGGCGGGGGGGCAGGAAGAGGGGAGGCAGAGCCCCGATTCCTCCTGTGGCCACGTGGTCAGTGCGCTCTGGCCTTTGACCTTTTCCACGCCCTGGCTGTGAGATTATCTCGACCAGGAGCACCCGGCAGCCCCTCTCCCTTGACTGACATCTCAGCAGCTCCGCTGGGACCTGGGTGAGGGCGGCCATCAGCGGAAGGGGAGGGGTGACCACAGCTCCCTGACCACGCCCTGGGGGGCCACCTGGCAGAGGCAGCCGAGAGCCCTCCCCGCATCGCAGACCTAGTCTAGGGAGTGGCCTCGACTGAACATGGCGATAAACGGTGGCCTAGACCGCGAGGGTGACCGCGTTAGTAGCTGTGTGGTGGCTTCCAGGCTGCTCCTAACCCTGCTCCTTTGCCTCGTGAGAGGGGGTGAGGATGAGCAAGTGTGGGGGTGACAAGGCTCGGAGCCAGCCGGGCTCTGGCTCACACCTCCCTGCTTCTTCCTGGAGGGCACTCTTCTTGACAAACCCGCTGCCC